GAAGAACTGCTTAATTAGCGTGTCTTTTTAAGCGCGGCGTAATCGCTCCTGTCGATCGCTCACACCGTTTATCACGCATGTTTTATCGGAAAACGTAAAAAAATAAAGGAGAAAACGCGCGCGAAAGGACGAGATGTGCATGAGATTATCGGAGGAAAGAGGGGAAGGCATGGTCACCTTGATAAGAGTTCCACTTTACCAGTTTCCTAAGATATGCAGAGGACCGAAGACCACTTGCTTCGACCACTCTCTCGTGGAGTATAATAAACTCGCTTAAGGTCGCTTGACATCATAATCGATAATCGCGCATATAGCTAAGAAGTTACCGTATATATAATATATACATATATGTATATAGTGTACTCACTTGACTTGAAGGCATCGCCATTCCAATTCTCAAGTATGCCACGGATCTGAAAGAAAAAAAAAAGATGCACGATAAAATTGATTTTTAAAATTAGGATTTTTAAAATTTAGAACACTATAAGCATGCCATTTATATTGTGTCTATGTACGCCATTTACTTTTTATAAATAATAGTAGACAAAAATGATTAAAAAATCGTGATACCTCTTGCAATATTGGAGCGTAAGAATATTAAAACTTTCTTTTATATCTCGTGGGATGCTATCCAGAATTCTAAATAAAAAACCAAAATTGCGAAAAAATTTATCTTTAGAATATTTAAAATTAGTTTAAAATATATGCTTGTATAATTTATATATAATTATACATATATATCTCATAATACGTAAAATATTTCGGCAATGAATTATGAATAACTTGGTATTCGGTCTTGGTGACGTAAACATTAGCGCGCTATTATTTACATGTACGGCCTTGTTATCATTCGCACGGCGACACTTGAATAATACTGTAATAGTGGGAAACGCTACGTCACAAATTCCTTTTCAACAATACTTATTATAGTTGTTATTATTCACGCGACGACACTCGAACAGAAAAATAGTGATGCGAGACGCTCCGTCAAATTCCTTTTCTACACGCGATCGCGCCAACTATCGAATTTGATTAATATGATTAATATGATTAATAATTAATTATTTTTTGCATACATTAGATCATACAATAATTATATCGCGACAATAAATTTCGAAGCGCGTATTCCGCGTAATTTATTTATTTAATTTTAATTAAATTTTATTTTTTAAGTAATTTTTATTTATTAAGTACGAAACGTAATGACAGATGTCCAAAATAATAAATTATCATTTTATTGATATCTTTCTTTATGAACAATAATTATTTCTTTAATAATATTTATTCAAGATTAATAAATAATTAATCTATAATTTAAAATACTTATATAATTTATAATATTTTGCGTATATATATATACGTCATAGGACGTGAAATATTTCAACAATGTATTATCAATAATAGGTGTTCAGCCTTGACGACGTAAACATTAGGACTCTATTGTTTATATCTTATACCTTGTTATCATTTGCGCGGCCACACGTAAATAGTTTCATTGTAATAGTGGGAGATGCTACGTCACAAATTCCTTTCCTACAATAATTCATCATTCACGCGACAACACTCGAACAGAAAAGTAGTGATGCGAGACGCTCCGTCAAATTCCTTTTCCAAACGCGATCGCGTTTACTGTGAAGGGGAAACCAAGTACCCAGCGTCGTCGTTGTTAATGGAATTATTAAAGTTATTAATAGCGTTTTTTTCAAAATTTATAAAATTATTTTATTAATCTGCTTATTATTATATGCATCAAATATAAAATTCAATGCGCATAATAAATTTTTTAAAATATTAATTGTTTTGAGCGCTGCTACAATTTGGATCTTTTATTTGCATGTTACAGACCAACGTATAACGACCCTGATATTCTGAGAGGAGGAGGAGGCCTAGGAGAGGCATCCTGCCCCAGCGGAGCAACCCAAGGGTGAATATTTATTATTTGTATTCTGTTTGATAAAAATCGCGTACGCGCATTAATTCAGTCTCATTACTCGAATGAATTAAACAAGAGAAATTTAGAAAGAAAGACTTTTACATAAATCCGATAAATGTTTTTATTATTAGAAAAAACAGTCTTTTTAGAATTTATAAAATTATTTCATATTTATGTATCTGTTTTTTATCGTACGCATCGAATATAAAAGTTGGCATGTAAAATAATAATTTTTTTGAAATATTAATTATATTTTGGGCGCTGCTAATTTGAATTTTATATTTGTATGTTACAGAGAACGTAGCCTCAAGACCAACAACTCCGCTGTTGCGCATCAGTGCCGGTGAGTGACAAACTTTTATTTAATTCTAAAGTAACGGATTTGTAGAGATTGTAGATGTAGATTGTAGATTGTAGATAAATTGTAGATAAATCCGTTACTTTTAAATGGATGAGCTAAAACAGATTTAGTTGAATAACTTTTAATAAATTCTTTTAATATGTATTGCATCTATTGGAAATTAAAATCTAAATTAAAGAAGTAAGATTATAGAAAACATTTTTTTCCAATTTGTAGATTTTATTTGATTTATCGAATAAAGAACACTAGTAATTTTATCAATTATATGATTTTATCAATTATGTCTGATGGTAACTTATTTTTATAACGCGCGCCGATCTTATTCTAAATTCTTATAGCTCATCCATATCGTAGAATTTGTTTGTAGATACTGTCCTTAAACTTTGTTTTAACTGATACAAGACTGAACAATCAATCAATTAAATTACTTATAACATGATAATAAATGATATAAATGTTGTGTAAATTAATCTTATTTTATTAATTAATCTTATTTAAATTATATATTATTATATATTATTATATATATTAATATTTTATATATATGTATATATTATATCGTTATAT